CACACACACACACGTGTGCAGGTGCTCACGCAGACGGAGCCAGAGCGATTTATGCAACGCATCTCTCTGTCCACCTATTTCTGGCTAGCTATGTATTCATAGTAAGGCTCAGAGACAGGTACAGATGTTCGGACCCAGTCACAGGTTACACCCATCTGCCGATAGTCTGTGATAGGAGTCAATCTTTACCGGAACATGCACACAGACAACCATACAAGCCGTCAGCAACTTGCGAGTTTGCATCTTTCAGTTCGTACCTTCCCAGACCTGTTTGTCAACCCATGCCACACCCCAAAGTATGGCCAAGGAGAAGACTCTAGACATACTCTTAAACTTTAACTGTTGGTCGGGGAGATATGGGGCGTCATTGTTGAAGCTTGAAGGGGTGAGGATGAGAAAGCGACAGCTGCGAACCCCCATATCCTGCCTTTCTGGCCGCCAGCACCTTCCTGAGCATGCGTGCCTGGATAAAGCTACAGCTAAAGGGTAAGCCAAGAGCATGTCGCTTGAAACCAGTCGCGCTCCGAATACTGAGAGGCCAAACTGCTTAGCACAAAGGCACCAGGTTATGCAAAAGTGTTCGATTGCCGCTGACGAGGACGAATAGATGCCTGGTGATACTACTGGCTAGCTGCATGATGACAAGGCCACAGTTGCTAAGCTGCAACGCCTAAACCCAGAGTCCGGAAGCTTTAGATTGGGCCACAGCCCCGAAGTGCCAATCTGGGAAACTTGAGTCTAAGTCTAAGCAAGTAGGCTGTTTCTTGCATTGTACTAACATGTATGCAAGCTTCGATGTTCAACATTATTGGACTTGCTGATGGCTCCGAGTCTGTATCCGCCCGCGCCTCCAGGCTTCTTAGCGCGCTTCTTGCCCACCTCGCAACTCACAGCTTGCATCAGTGTTTGCATGACTTGCAGTCTTCTCCATGGACAACTAGTCCGCATAGATTCCGGAACCGTTGCCTTTGCAACCCAAAACTCGAAAAAAAACACACCACGAGGTGGTTCTCGTTTGGTCAGGCGCCGCTATTTTCGAGCAATGCAACGAGTCGACGAAAAACCTTAGGCAATCAATATCACTACCAAGATCTACACATTTCTGCACATACAGCATGCGGCGCTTTAATTGTTACATTATCACTTAATCAACATAGTACAATACAACGAAATTTGGCACAGTTTCAAGCAGGTTTTAATGTAAAGCAGTATCAGCACGTCACATGATCCACTATACTACAATAACAGCAAAGCTGCCTATTTCTATATATATATATATATATACATATATATATATACACATATATACATATACATATACATGTATATATATATATATATATAACCCAAAATGATGCAATGTAAAGTAATGTGAGGCGCTGTAGTATCTTTGAGTGACGGTAATACAGCATGATTCAAGGCCCCAAGTATGATAGAGTACAGTATGATACAGTAAAACAAAAACATGTATTACAAAAGTGAACTATATAGTATCGTATATACATATATAAGCAAAAAGTTTTTTGAATACATGCATGCATACATCCATGCACGCGTGCATGCATGCACACACACATATACACATATACTTACACATACACATAGACATACATATACACATACACGTACACATGCATGTACACATACAAATACACATATACATTCATTCATTCATACATACATACAGACATACATACATACCGCTGTAAGCATTGCTGTGAAGGTCTTGCAAATAGTTGCATTGGTATCGTAGGCAAACGGCCATCACTGTTATTGCTGGTATTGCAACCACGTACTGTTGCTGCACTCATCATTGCCGTCAGCTCTTCTTCTTGCTGGTTCAAGGTACGTAAGTGCCGCAAACACCCTCCAGCGTCACCACCTCTGCTGCTCCAACAACCCCCTACTTCTGTTTTCGTGATAGACAGCGGCCTTCGCTTTCTTGGGCTTGCTCGACGGGGGAGCTTCCCCCACCTCCTGCAGCCATGGTGAGGCAGAAGAACTGATGGAACTTCCCTTGGAAAGCTACGTGTAGATGATTGAAACAAGGAGATCGCATTCATCGTCGCTTCTCTATGAAACTTCAAGATAAACAAACACTCATAGGCGTGCCCACATGGCATCGCCAAATCTGAAACCTCTGGCGCCCAAAGCCGCTCCGGTCTGGAATCCTTTTCATGAGAACCTCAGAAAGGCCGACACCTCCTTCTCCTGTAGCAAGCCCTGGCCACCCAGACCACCTAGCCTGAGTTCGGAGACGTCCGAGCTCCCGGTCAGATGTGCTAGTTATGCTTCTGACAGCATCCATTACTGCCCAAAACGATGTGGTTTCACTGGCCTGCATGAGAGAAGTCATGCAGAGCACGGATGCACAGATGCATGTGCTGCAGGATGTGTGCGTGTGTGTACGTGTACGTGTGTGTGTGTTGGAAGCCAAGATTTGCAGATCTCACAAGGCCAGAATGTGCTCCTACCCGATCGCATGAACCCCAGGACTTGCCGGAGAAGTCCAAAGGATGCCAAGGGCGCACACAAACACGCATCCTCACAGCTACTCACTCTGCCTCCCTCCCCCCCTCCTGCTTACAGATGCCTAGGCCATGACAAATGCTCGATGGCACTCTACCTTTTCAGACCCCCATAGCAGTCATGCTCCTATTGCACATGTTTAGTCTGTGCTCGTGTAGTTGCAATACTCTATGCAAGACCAAGCTTACTGTACGATCACAGGCCCCCGCCGGTGACTTAACATGCGACCGCGCAGCTGCCGAGCCAAGCCTCGCAAGCGGGCCGCGCGCTTCAACTCCTCCGGTGTCTCCTGTCTTGTCTTGCTTACCTTTGGTTAGTAGGGAATGGAAGTAGCAGTAGTAGTTATACTTGTATCCCATTCCTCCCGGTGAGCTTGGCGGCACGGCAGTAAAGCGCCATCTTGTTTTCATTCTGCGAATGAAGCCCAGCAGCAGTCGATGGGTGTCAAAAAAAGACGGTATCCAAGCAATGTAATCTTGCGAAGATACGAGGTAGAAAGTCGACAGCCCGAAAAGTGGATGTGGAGTGCGATGATTGTATCAGACGGTGCCAAGGAATCATGACTTGGGCTTCGCGTCGAGCAGCTTTCGAGGTGGGTTGGTCTGATGAACGGGTTGAGCATCCCGTTGATTCCATGCAGATGTAGACTCTGTTAATGTGAATGTCTGCAATCTGGTAAGCTTCTGGTCAACCTGTGCAGCAGCCTCAGTCTTTCCTTCCTATAAGGTGGAAGTTTGGCAGACAGCTCGTCGGGCGTACCTCTTGAAAGCTTGAAATGTTGATGTTGAAAGCGCTTCGTGCATACCGAGCACTTCGCACCCCGTCCCTGTTACCTGTTTGGCTGTCACACTCATCCCTGTTTCATCGTGGTGGACCTGTCAAGGCATGATCTTTAGCTGACATTATATCAGCGGTTTCTCTTGAAGTCGCCGTCGGAGCGAAAACAAGTTTGACTGAAGAAACTTTACAACTCATTCTTCTAGGCAAAGTTAGAAAAACATGACGAGGATGTTGAGGATACGAGTGGAAGTCTTCTCTCGGATGACAGCTCTTAGGGCTTCACGCTTCAAGGCTCAACCATTCCAGCTTTACTGTCTACTGTTCCCTGGCCAAGCTGCTGGGCGTGCGTAGACCACGTCAGTCCGCAACAAGTACCTCGAACCCGCAACAGCCCGTGGAAATCTTTGTTGCAGCCACGTCTCCAATGGATGCTGGGCTTTGGAAAAAGGTTCCAGCTCTAGCTCTAGGTGCATGGCCCCACGAGAGCGAGAGAGAGAGAGTGTGTGTGTGTGAATGTCTGTGCGTGTGTAAAATGATCGGAGCAGCAATTAGCTGAACGTGCAAGTCTGACATGCCAAGCAATCGTGAATCATGGGAAAAGAACCGGGAAAGGGGCCCTCCAGCCCAAATCATCGAATCGAAACATAGGCCTAAAAGCCCAAAAACACCTGAAATCCCATGCCGAGGCTCTTGGTGCCGGATGTCACAGCAGAACCTGCGATCACAAGATGTTGGGTGTTTTTCCCTCCTACTTAGCAAAGACGAAGCCCGCTGTGCAGGTGTTGTGCTTAAGGCTTAGGGTTTCGGGCTCTTGATTCAGGGCTCTATTTTTCAAGGACCTGTGCGTCTCAAGCAGTCCGATTATGACACGCCCTGTGAACTTACGATACACACCATCGCGGGTAGGCTCTCCGGGTGGAAATTACTTCTTATCGACATCCTCCACATTCCTCCACACTTCGCATTGCCTTTAAGAGCTTCGGCGCCCATGCTCCCTTCAGTCTGCAACTAGTCGCGTGCCCTTAGCTACGCTTCCTGAGGAGTCCCGGCCTTCGTGAAGCAACGGTGTGCCGCAGTCCCCATGAGGGAAGACCTCAAGTATATATATATATATATACATATGTATATGTATATATGTATATGTATGTGTATATATATATATATGTATATATATCTGATATCTGTACACATTCAAGGAGCCACACAACACCGACATTGATCGATCCCTTCGCAGTCGAAGTTGCGGGTCTTGAACACCCTTTTGCAACAGGCTTGCGACTTCGCCCGGAAGTTGGGCCCTGGAAGCCCTTCACAGCACGTACTGTGGAGGCAGTGCCAGCATCCCCGTACTCCCTCTTTTTAAGCACGGACTTTGAGATCCCGTACTCCTAAACCTTGAACCATGCGTAAATCAGAAACTGCAAGTGCTGAGGGACTTCGGGTCGGTTGCTTTGACGACTGCGACTTTGGGTGCTGGTTTGGAACGATCCAGCACAAGGCAACTCGGGGGCGAGGAAACTGAGCTTTTCCTACCGGAACTCATCTTTGAATCCAAATTCAATCATTTTTGAGTGCCACGGACGTCGGACCGCATACGCCTGAACCATTGTAGGCCACTGTTCGATTAAACCCAACTTGTAGGCACAGGCCAACGCTTGCGAATCCGATTCCTAGCAAATTAGCTTCAAGCTTTATGGGCGAAGCTCAACTGCACACAAGATCACTTCGTCTTGCTTCCAACACCTCTGAATCTGAATACGCTGAGACACCGTTGCAGATCCGATGCGGGGCTTCACAGGTCTGGAGTCTAGCACGCCCTCCTCACCTGCAGTATGGCATGGCGCGGGCCGGACGAAGAGCAACTACACGAATCAACAACATCACGACAGTCACTCCGCTACTCTCGAGCCTGAGTTAGGCGTGTAGAAGGTGGTGCAGCCACCCTCGAAGTCGTCGTTCAAGTAAATAATGAACCTTGGTTGGACCATATGGAACACCTGTACATCTATACCTACTTGCCCATTTCACCTTTTTCTGCTTGCTTGTGATCGGCAGCTGCCGTCAACATCGAGGGTGAGTGCTCCAAAAACCTTCGAAATTCACAACGCGACATGAAGCTCGCCTGGCTTCAGGTTGTCTTTCGCGGCTGTTCGTACGATCCATTTTTTAAGTTCAACTAGGACTCATAGCCAATCTGTCCAGACAGACATGCTGATGACCCGGGAGACCGTCAAAGAAACCAGGCGGCGTCAGTTTTGATCTGGTGCCGCCGCCATAGGCGTCGTACACCTGAACCACGTTGTTGAAATCGTGACGCAGGCCCCCTGGACCCTGAAAGCTTAAAGCCTGAATGCTGGATTCTACATACCTGCTTCGATGGCACCAGCTCGAAATCCCCATTCTCCAAGTCAGATTCGATCGTGAAACCGTAACAGTACGGTTGAAGGACCCTAAGGACTCTAAACTATGGGAACTATAGTATATTCCTTATAATCGATAATGCAGGATTTTGTCCATCAACAGTAGCATCAAAGATGCGCATGACCCCGACAACCAGAAACTCTAAGTCGCGGTAGGGCTTCCTCATACAGCCTCCATTCGTGCAGCAATCAAGGGCATGTGCCAGGATACTCCTCTTGCTGCAAAATGCATATCCTGTAACGCAATCGGGTTTCATGCAGTATCAAGTGTGCCGCAGAGAACATACTCTGCAAGCTCTCTTCCAGGTGAATTGATGGGCGTAGGATTCCCAAAAGATATGGTGCTATGTTTCGTGCTTGGAATTCGGAAAAGCGGCATACTCGTCCTGACCGTCCTCACCACGCTTAAGCCCGCTTGCCGGCCAAGCGCCGTCCAAGTGCTTCCGGTACCTAGTTCGGACTCTGGGGATGTTGCAGCATGTCGTCTCGTAGTGTCGGAGAGTATTCTCAGGCGCATCACGGCACGGCGTAGCGTGCCAGATAGAATGCTGCAGACATTGCCACGTATAACATATAGAAGTGAAGTATGCAGGACCTTTCAGACATAGCAGAGTATGTGTTAGTTGGCCTTCGAGCTAACACTTTTGCTGGAGCCTTGTCGCAGAAATCACATGGTTGCGCGCGCGGCGCTACGTGGCTTGCTGTGTGTAGCAGATCTGGAGCCCGTCGCGATCTGCGCAAACTGGGCATAATCATGGAGGAAACCACATCTTGCGAAAGCGTCGCAACCATATGCCACGTCCCCAGTGCCGCCAGGATGCAGATTGCCAGACAGGTACCGGTAAAATCGCCATCTGCGGTTGATCCCCAACAACCTCGGCCGGCCACATGACGACGGACGCTGTGCGTTTCAACCGCAAAGTGCTCCGGCTTCCCTGTCCTCCTCTGCACTTCTTGGCGGTGTGAAGATAGCTGCAACTTCGGGGTGGGCGGCAGAGTAAGAATTTCATGAATGATTAGCCGCAATGTAGCTACGAGGCCCCATAGTGAAAAAAGTGTGGAACGATGAAGAAGAAGCAGAAGCAGAACGAGTCGAGTCCATGTCTGCAACCTAAACCCCCGACAGCTGCGGCGACAGAAAGCCCTCCTTGCGCGGCCTCCCAGAGCCCAGATCAAAAAGGAACCCCGTTGACTAGTCTGGCGTTGTTGGGCATGTCATGGCATGAGTATCTACGGACCTAAATGGCATACCTTCTCAAAAAAGTCAGAGCCCCATATTCAGCTTTCTGGGCAGGCGACTTCTCTTGGCCCAGCTTGCTTGGCAGCAGGTGCTTCACTCGGTCGAACCTGGGTCGTCTGTGTGGTTTAAGGACTCACGACTTGACCGTGACATCATAGGGCCCCTCAAGGGGGGCAGGGGGAAGGGGTATGGGCCGGGAGGTTCAACTTCATGCTACATACTGGAGCGCATTCAGCATACCCCTTGAAGCTAAGGCACGCTGGTCCTGCCACCCGGGATTTAGGAGAAATTAGAACCCTTCGCGCATCTGTTCCTGCAGTAGTTGCTCACCCACTTGCTGGGCATGCGCTCTATCCTCGTATACCTGCTCAAACAGCATTCGCAACGAGAGTCCTGTGATGGTTCCCCGACGGAGACAGCATCTCAAGCGCTTGATCATGGAGTCTTCAGCGGAGAACACAGGTCATCACAAGCCAAGAGGCAGAGAGGAGTTCTGAAAGTCCTGAGCATCTGCAGTCTCACAACTAATCCGCCATTTGGCCTAACTGCTCATCGGCCCGGGCCGAGCGAACATACTTCCTGGTTGACCTGAACCTCTTGTCTCGACAGGGCTCGTTGGCCATGAGAACGACGTTGTGCGCCCGCTCATCCAGTTCGGAGGACAAAGGCACGTCCGGTCTGTATCCTTGGCCCGGTTTGCGGACTAGGGCGCACTCGTTGGCCTTAGCCTTCACAGGTTTCCACATGCTGAACTGTTGCGGGATTCCGAAATTCACGGAACCTATACACGTTTTGCACCTGATGCGGCCAAGCTTCCCATGACTTCAGTCGCCTGGCGGAGCATATGGCACTCCTTGAGAAGGGAGGCTTTCGCGGCGTACTCAGAATTTCGCGGCCGCGGATGCAGACGTGCCACAAGAAGCCCACGCGCTCAAACCCTTAACTTCAAGACTCCGGCGGTCCTGGACGGAGAGGACATCGGACAGCACAAAGGCCCCGGGCACTCCTTTGAAACATTTTCTGACATGCACGCTACTCCAGGGGTTTCGGATTTAGGGTTTATATGTCGGAGAATGAAAGTTTTATGATGAGGCTCAGCATGCTGAGTCTCACTGCCGTGCACCTGTGGAGGTCCGAGTGATCATTGACTCCATATCCCAGCCTTAGATACAAAAGAATGCAAAAGATGTGGGAAGTTACTCACAAACTCCACATATACTGACTATAGGGGCCTTAATAATTAGAATAAGGTTTTGGGGCCCATTTTGCCATAATTCTGACAAGGAACCCCCAAAACAATATAGGTAACTATTGAGGCCCCTACTACTGTCAGTCTGAGGCCCTGGAGTCCTGGCAGCTCGTGACGCTGCGCAGCCCGCGGGGGCCGAACAGTCAACTGCAGCCCGGTGGGCGAACCTTCGCTAGAAAGCAGCTCAAGGGTAATGTCGGGCCTTAAAAAATAATGTTTAGGGCCCCTTATCATAATTACGGTATAATGGACCCCAAGCCGATTCCAATGATTAAGGCCCCTATAGTATGACCGTATCCCAACCCACCACATCTGAAGATCAGGCAGACGAACAGCGTATAGACAGATGCCAGCATCTCTGCAGTGCAGCAGCTTTTTTCCTCTTGCTGCTGGGATGCTTGAATCGTCGGAATGCTCGGCAAGCCGACGCGAGCTGCCGCCAGCAAACATCAACACGCCAAAAAAAAACAGTCTAGATTCATAGCGGCTGTACCTTTCAACATCCATAAGAAGATGGGACGATTGCGATCAGCATAACTTGGCACATGCTCAACGATTTCAGGACAACCCCAGCTCGAAAGACGGATTTGTTCACCATATACGATTGAGCTTCTCGAGCGCAGCAGCCAAGAATCGGGGTCCAGAACTTCAGAGTTCAGGGTCTGTAGCAAACCATAAGCCACAAGTATGGGAAGATCAACTCGGATACCAATTAACTAGTCCGAAACACTACACTTCGATCTACGACTGCCAAGTCGTGATGCAGGAAAGATCTCTTGGACCCTGATTTCTGGGAGTGTCCTCCGGATGCGCTGGCTCGGAAGGTACAAACGTTGCTAAAGATGTCCAGGACGCATTGCAGAGGAAGACATGCAACCCCAGTGTGGACAGATTCTACTTTCAACTGGGACTCTGCAATGCTCCCTGAAGGGGTGCCGAGCACTTGGCTCTAAGATGTGGCTGTTGCACATGATGAGCTCAAGGACTTGCACCGTGCACCACTTTCGATGATTCGTCATTCGTCTTCGAGGTGCACTTCGATCGCATGCTCATTGCTAGCCTCCTTGTGAAGATAGCCCTGGCATGCGACTGTTCAGCTAAGCAGCCAAGCTCCCCGGGACTACCGCTGGAACCCCGCAATATCTGCATATTCCTAGAACCCAGCCACACACACGCAATTGGGTCCCAGCACTCCTGGGCATGTGGCACTTCGCAACTCGAGCCGGAGCTCGCGAAAAACTTTCCAGTTGGGGATTTCGCGGAAATCCGAACTGGATCTCCTTCATGCGCTGCGCCCGCGAAGCCCTGGCCTCGAAAACCGAGGGCACCGGGGTCGAATTCACCTCAGCCTCATCTTGTTGAAGATTCGGGCGGGCTTGGGATTGCTTCGGATGTAACTTGTATGTTTCAGCATATGGGACAAATACCTTCCCTCAGCCCTGAAAGTGCTTCTTTGCGCTGGCCGCAGCCGTGGCATCAAGGAGAGGCGCACAGGATTTCAAACAGGCTAGAAACTTTCAGGGAGGCTCATTGAGCTTCCTTTTGATGTTCAGCTCGGCGTCTCGCAGCCCTGGCCTCCCACCCAACGAAGGCAAGCTGTCTCAGGCTGGCTTGTCAGCAGCAAGACAATGATTCCGTAGGTTAGGCAGAGGGCCGGGATCACAAGGACAATGGCTGCCATGGCGGAATTGGAGCTCCACTCCCTCTTCCGCCTATGAGCCTCAGCTTTCTGCCATGGAATCATGGGAAGCAACGCCAAGGCAAGGAAGGAGGTGGCGTAGGTCAGCACATAGGACCATGCGACGGTCGAGCGGAACTGTGGGGTGTCCAGGATGTAGTTCTCAAGATTCGAGAGCTTCGGGTCGAAGAGCCCATAGACCTGGTTGCTGATCACCGTGGCAAAGGGCAAGGCGGATTGCTGGAGGGTCCCGATCAAGCCGTAGGAGAGACCTTCCCGGCCCGGCTCGGCCAATTCGATGATCATCAAGTTCGAGACGAGCTGCAAGACGGCGTTGGGAATGGAGCTCACGACGTCTTCGCCAAGGTAGAAGTACTGGTTCCGCACCAAGCCGAAAGTCGTGAGGAATTGCGGGATGGCATCGAGCACGTTCACTGCGAAGATCGCTACAAAGATGGCTTTCCTCCAGCTTGCCTGAAGAAAGTACACCCTGTAGACCCAGGTGGCCGCCATCATGATGCCCAGACCAGCCATGCCAAACATCTGCTGCTGCAGAACTTTCACATGCGCCCATTGGCTGCGGACCATTGGCCCGGCGGTCGTCGTCATGGAGACCAAAAACTGGACGAAGAAAGCGAAGAAAAGAAGGCTCGAGAGTGCTTTCCCCTGAACAAGCTCCCAAGAAGACTTCACATGAGCGCGGCAGGATGTGCGTTGCCCCGATTTGGGGGGCTCATACACGCACATGACTGTCACGGGGATGATCAGGACGACCAGGACCAGGCAAACAGCCATGAGACCACTGAAGGACAAGCCCCAGTCAAAAGTGCCCAAGTACTCCTTGCTGTTCATGAAGATGCCAATCACCAGGGAGGAGGCCAAGGATCCCGCCGTGCACACCATGGTCATCTCCGCCTTGATCTGCCCACGACGCTCCAGCGGCTCGAGCTGTGAGTACTCCAGAAGTAGGGCCTGACCCGAGACGCTGCCTAGCTGGAGACCCGCTGTCAAGATGAACATCGGGAAGACGTACCAATTCTTCTCCTTCAGAATCCCAGGGTTGCAGGGGGGCACATACCAGTTGTAGTCCCCGTTCTCGAAGCAGTAGAAGGGGCCAGGTTGAGGCTTCAGGCTCATGGTGAGGAGTGCACCGGCGGTGATGGCCCAAGAAATCAGGAGCCAAGGCTTCCTCTTCTGCCCGCGGATGGGAAAGCAGTCGGTGAGAATCCCATAAGGTAGGGGGAAGACATCGGGGAGCTTCATGAGTGCCGCAATCGATGCCAGGACATAGGAGTCTAAGCCCATGTAGCCAAGGAAGAAGCCGTAGATAACACCACTGCAGGTGGCGCTCAAGAAGGCAAGAAGGAATCCGTTCAACACAATCCCAATGGTCGCCCGCGTCCAGATGCTGACTGGTTTGCCACAGGGCAAAGCATTCTCAACATCGGGCTTGATGGCATTGAGCTCCGGAACTTGAACTGAAGCATGCGACTCTGACACTACGCTTTTGTTGTCGGGGGTCAATCCAGTCAGTGCCGTCGTGCCTTGGGAGAGGCAGGAATGTGCCTTCTTGAGAGTGCTAGCCCCGGTGTGCTCATACTTGTAGCTGCTTGCACTGGTGTGCTCGAAGCGCTGCGAATGCGAGGACGCCGTAACGGACTCCTCCTCCGCAGGATGTGCCGGCATTGGCATGGCTTGGAAAACAGCCGTGCGTGCTGTCAAGTCTCGAGCCAAACCTCTGCGACACCCAATCTGACCAACTTAGGACTGCGTCCGCAACGAAGCAACTGCCGGGCTCAAAGCATCCGAGCGTGAGTTACGATGAACTCGCTGCACAACTTCCAGCGCTACACCCGATGCCAGCCTCTCCGGTCCCGGACGGCCGACTCTTGCTACGCACGAGTAAGGTTTTCAGCTAGGAAGCACATGAAGATATCCAGGTCGTAGCGATTTGGTGGCAGGCGGTCAGCTGCCGCCTCGTGTGCCAGAACTCGCCAGTCTCCCGGCCTCAGCCAAAGCCGTCAGAATCATAGAATAATAGCAATAATAGTAATACTTTATTATTAGTAATAATGGAAAAAATATTGAGTGTAATAAGCATTACAAGAGCAACAACTGTTAACTGTTCTTGTATAACAGTAATGATATTCAGCGAAATTGTCATTACAACAGCTGCAACTGTTAACTGTTCTTGTTGTTGCGACTGTGTGAAGTAGCAATAGTGGTAGTAGTAGTAGTAGTAGTAGTAGTAGTAGTAGTAGTAGTAGTAGTAGTAGTAGTAGTAGTAGTAGTAGTAGTAGTAGTAGTAGTAGTAGTAGTAGTAGTAGTAGTAGTAGTAGTAGTAGTAGTAGTAGTAGTAGTAGTAGTAGTAGTAGTAGTAGTAGTAGTAGTAGTAGTAGTAGTAGTAGTAGTAGTAGTAGTAGTAGTAGTAGTAGTAGTAGTAGTAGTAGTAGTAGTAGTAGTAGTAGTAGTAGTAGTAGTAGTAGTAGTAGTAGTAGTAGTAGTAGTAGTAGTAGTAGTAGTAGTCGTCGTCGTCGTAGTCGTAGTAGCAGTAGCAGTAGCAGTAGCAGCACAAGCAGCAGTAGCAGCAGCAGCAGTAGCAGTGTTAGTGTGAAGCGTGTTTGGGTTACTCGACATGGGCACATGTAGTTATAATGTCAGACACTCCGCAGAAGACAGCCAGACTACGAGCCCACTGCAGATTATGAATGATGCGCTTTCCTTGTTCCTAGTCAGTATGCTTACAACGGTTCTAAAGCCACCAAGAACATGCTACCGGCATTGCTGCAGCGCGAACCTGCTGAACACGAGGCTTTCTGGCATCGGGGTGCACTGGCAATGCACCACGAGCCACCCTCAGACCCTCGTTTCTTGAGAGGTCTTTAGAGTCGAAATCTCAAAAACCCTTGGAGAACAAGTTGCGGGGCAGGTAGGAGGTAGGACAATATACATCGAAATCTACGCAAACGCAACAGAGCCGCGTGAAAGACGTGCTTCCATCAGCATCGCTTTTGCTTTTGCCTGAGATGCAAGAAGTGTTCTCAACATTTGAGACAAACATCGCTCGAGTAACGGGATTCACAACATCTGCACATCTTCAGCAAAGCGACTTATTATGTCATTACATCCTTCGGTCTGAACGGTTTGCCACACGTCTACTGTACAGTCAAGTTGAGCGGTGCAGCACATCATCAAGCTTCCGCTGAAACCTGAGGGACTAGTTCAGGCCACCTGCTGTAGCAGGGCTTCGCAGGGCTTTCTTCCCAGCTTCTTCCAGGACTGAGGACATTGACATGAAAATGCACAGATGCGGCTTCAGAGTGAAGGACGGCCACACGTTGTTTTCCTTGCCAGTACTGCCAGTGTGCTGACAAGCTGGCTGTGTCTTAGCCACCCGCCATAGCGGATGGCCGAGCGGCCGGCGGCCGAATTCTTTGCATGGTGGGAGAAGAAGCAAGCAGCTTTGCCGCTGCTTCTCTTTTGCCCAGCCAGCTTTTGGAGAAGGACTACATATAAAAGGGGTATTCAGCTCACGAGTTCCATCTGCTTCCTCTCGTTTCCTGAGGCCAAAACGAGCCAAAGATGCTGATGAGTCATCGGGGCAAGCTGGGGCAGCCGCCTTGCTTGGCCTCAGGCATAATCGGCGTAGTCTTGGGCTCTGCGTCTCCTTCTTCCCAAAGCCTTCATGGGACACTCTAGATGTCCAGTTGAAGGCTCGGAGTCTATACCGTAAGGTAATGTCATATAAAGACGGATAAAGGCTCGCAACACGGATCACGGGTCAAGGGTGCTTCGGGCGAGACTCCTACTTGTCAGCCACATGGCCGTATCTTAGACTCAAACTAACTTCTCTCAATCCGCGGATGTAGTTTGCCGCTTCTCTTTGAGGATCTGTTCCTTTGGTTGCTGGGAGCTAAGGCAGCCATGGCAACATCCCATGCACCCGGCTGAGACCTAGGATAATGAAGGAACTGTTTGCCGACCAAGCAGCTCATTGCAAACCAGCGCCGTGAGGATGAAACCGCCGCCAATGCAGTCGGCTAGTGTGAACACCTCCCCCAGATACAGCATCGCTGCAAGGGCGGCCCAAAGAGGTTCCTGCCATATCAGCTTGTCATGCATTGTGTTTGGCACCCATGTGACTTTGCACATCGTAGGCTGTGCTGTCTGGTGCGGTCAGCACTGAGGCGGCAGCGGAAGCTGATATCAAGGAGACCTGAATCGCCGCGACCCGTCTCTGCCAAGCCCCCCACAGCTTTTTTGGGGTTAAGGGCAGGCCCCGCCTCGGAGATCTTTATGATTTGCACTGCCTTGTTGGCCAGCAGCATTGTGATGACATTCCCCAGGAAAGTCGAGAAGAGAAGAGGGGGCCAAAGACCTACGGCTTTCTGTATGGCACTCGCACTAAAAAAAAGGTCTGGGCTCCAGGATTGTTGAAACACCTGTTGGGAACACTCGTGAGACTCTTGAACATAGATCCACCATGGATCACTCTATCTCCCAATCCAAGCGTCTAGGCAGACAGCAAAAGTAGACAAATTCGTGCGCACGAACGCAGGCTGAACCGCCCACATGTCCCTACACATCCCCTTGCTCTGTCCAACGGGCCCTCAGGCAACTGAATTCGGACTTGGCGCCCGGAGTCTGCAAAATTGCGGGCACCTGACCCAGCCAATCCGCTATACCAGCCGGCCCATGTTTCCAGCCAATGTCACCCAGGATCCACGTTACGAAAAGCACCGTAAAACATACGAACTGGATTGCAAGGGATGGCAAGGTGTCGTCTGGGTACTTCTTCATCGTATCTCCCAACTTGTACCACCCAATTCCTATTGCCAATGGTGCAGCTGCGCACACCAAGTCGCCTCTGGATTGCACATCTACAGAAACTTAAAACGAAACTAACATCTGTTCCTCTCACTACTGCCCTGGTATTCGCCGAGCCAGCATTGACTTAGGAGCTACATGATAGCATGATGACAGAACTCATTCTAGACTTAGGGCGAGGAAGTGAGCCTTTAAGTAAGACCTTCGAGTTATCTGCCCAAATCAAGGCCGAAGTTTGGCAGGGTCACCGGACGTCGTCTCCATGGGGCCTCCGGCAAGCTCAAGGAAGCCCACTCCAACCACCGCCATCACAGCAGAGACGACGGTGCCCAGTTGGAGACGCTGGGCAGCTATGGAGGTGCAGGCAGCCACGACAATCGTTTGCAGTGAACAGATGAAGGCAGCCTTGCCACCAGTTGTGCCCAAAGAGTAGGCAGTGAAGATGGCAGCATATGCGAGGCCGTTGAGGCTGCCAACGATGGCCGAGGTCCGTGCACTTTCTGCGCTGCTGGAGCGGAGGACCCAGGGCAGGAGCGGCAAAGTCGCCAAGCCGAAGCGGAGGGCACCGTAGACGATGGCAGCATCCTCCACGCCAGCAGCGACGAGCGTATCGATGCCGGCCTTGGTGCTGATGTAGGCGGCACCCCAGCAAGCGGCGTTAAAGGCCGTGACAGTTTTCCAGAGAGTCTCCTCCTCTTCCCAGGCGGGTTCGAAGCCCTCGGAGGGTTCGGAAGCTCCCCTGCCCACTGCGGGAATACGATCGGGCAGAGGCCGAGGCCCAGCAGATCCTCCTACAAAGGCTGAGTCATCTTGCCATGCTTGCCATGCGGTGAAAGTTCGAAAAAGGAGGCCAAGCGTAGAGGCCAGGAAAATCAATCTCAGGGGCCTACGAGCTGCACCTCTGCGCAGCATCTGCTTGGAGTTCTGTACAGGAGCTTGGACCGCTAGGCTCTCAAGCGTGCCAACGATGCGAACTGCAGCAAATCTTTCTGCACCAGTAGGGGGTGATGCTTCTCTGCGAAGCTGTCTCGACACTTCGAACATGAAACTGCACCAGAAACTCCATTACGGATCATTATTGCCTGTATATGCATCTTCGAATTCTGGTGAACTTGCCTACAGCACTCGGGGGCATCTCTACTACAGAGGGGAGGGGCGGCCGGGCTGCGGAAAGCGATGAGGCTGAGGAGCTTGTTCCTGGGCAGAAGTTGGGACTTCCAGGCCTCCTTCCGGGCTCTCGACTCAACGTAGAGATTTATGTAGAGCAGGTAGAGGATGTTTGGGATATTTCTGGCAGGATGCCCAGGTTACGATGATTCTCTGTTGTGTTCAACCGGTCAAAGAGTCAAAGGTAATTTACCACTACTCTCGCGTGGATCAGGCCAAGAGTTCTCTGCAGCTTAGCCTGGCTTGGGCTTCATGGTCCCTGTCCCAAAACATTGCGCAAATGTGCAAAGCCATGGGCACTGGAGAAGTCTGTCCCGGGCAGGCCTGGTGTAGCGCCAAACGGTCAAAACCTCACCCACCCATAACTGAAGGAGGCATCCAAGACTTGCCTGATCTTGATCGGTCATCCCACCAGAAAATCGATGCCACACCCAATCCACGTTTTTTGCAACTTGTCATTGCAAGCCGATCTGTTGGCATCATCCCCTGAAATGACTTGGGGCCCGTAAGCCTTCGAGCCCTATGATCATCATACCTGCTGCTTCTGGTCCCTCTTCCTCTGGAGGTTCATGGGTAGTTATAAGTAGGGTAACTGTGCTCATAACCCATAGTAGGGGACTTATGACCCCACTTATAGCTACCCCTGAACCTCCAAGTATAGATCCCAAGCCCTCAACAACGCATCGGAGAGCCCCAGCTAAAGCCAAAGGATCGCCACGGAGGCTGCGGCTTCCATCGGCTTCGGCTTAGGGCTGGGCGGTGGGTCCTGAAGAGACGACTTTCGGGACCGGGAAGAGAACTCGGGTTGATGGCCGCGACATATATGTATATATACATATACATATAGATAGATAGATAGATAGGCTCTTCGATTGAAGCCGGCAGCGGTATCCCAAAGGAGCGACAAAGGGGGAAGGGATGTTTGAGGTGCGGA